TTCTGTTTCTCTGAAAATGTCCCATTTCACCTTGAACTCTGAATCACATGTTCGATAGGTATAGAACTCTAGGTTGGCAGTTATTGTATTTCAAAGTCTTTTAGACATAATTTCCCTGTTTTCTATGTTTAATTAGCCCTATTGAAAAGTCAGTTTTCTATATTGCAATTGAATGTATGCTGTCTTTTTTCTTTGGCTGTTTTAAAAAAAAAGTTTAGTTATTTTGAGAGTGTGTGTGTCTGTGTGTGTGTGTCCATGCACACAAGTGGGGGAGGGGCAGAGAGAGAAAGAGAGAGAGAGAGAGAGAGAGAGAGGGAGACAGAGAATCCCAAGCAGGGTTTGCATTGTGAGCACAGAAACCAACATAGGACTCAAACCCATAAACTGTGAGATCATGACGTGAGCTGAAATCCAGAGTTGGACACTCAACTGACTGAGCCACCCAGGTGCTCCTCTTTGGCTGCTTTTTTGGATTTTCTTAAGTTTCACTCTGATTAAACATGCCTAGGTGTTGATTTTTTTATTCATACTGTTTGGGATTTGTTGGGCTCCCTGAATCTGTGCATTTATGATTTTGTTTTTCAATTTTGGAAAATATTCAGACAAAACCTCTTCAATTATTGCTTCTTCTCTAATCACTCTTTCTTTCCTTCTATAATTTCAATTAAAAACTTGGTAAATGCTGGGGCCTGGGGGGTTCAGTCAGTTAAGCATCCAACTTAGGCGCAGGTCATGATCTTGAGGTTTCTGAGTTCAAACCCTGCATGGAGCCTGCTTTGGACTCTGTGTCTCCCTCTCTGTCTGTCCCTCCCCTGCTTGCACTCTGTCTCTCTCTCTCTCAAAAAAATGAATAAACATTAACAATTTTTTAAAAATAGGTAAATCCTTCACACTCTAGCCTTTATGTCTCCTCTATTTGTTGCTGTATCACAAACTACATCAAAACTTTAGTGGCTTAAAATAGCAACCATTTTATTATACTTTTCAATTCTGTTAAGTCAGAATTGCAGCAGTGCTTGGCAAGGTGATAGTTTTGCTCTCATGGTATCATATGTAGTCACTCCATGGTATTCAGCTGGCATCTGGGCTTATCTGGAGGGTCCAAAACGGCTTCATTCACATGTCTGATGCCTTGGTGGAGAATAATGGAAATCTACACTTGCTGGGACTCTTGAACAGAAGGCATACATGTGGTCTTTCTAGCATGAGAGCACCAGGATAATCAGATTTTGTACATCGTGGTTGGCTTCTTTCAGAGAGAGCATCCCAGGAGAACTAGATGTGAGCTATGTGGTATTTTGCAAACCAGCATCACTTCCACCACATCTATAGGTAACAAAGTTCTGTTATATTCTGTTGATCAGAGATGAGTCCTAATGCCAGGCCAGGTCAAGAGGAGGGGTGTTAGATTAGTCTGCAGGCACTGCCAATCTGAGATTTGCATAAAGTGTGGTCAAGAATAGAGATTTCATGGGGCGCCTGGGTGGCTTAGTCGGTTGAGCATCCGACTTTCGCTTAGGTCATGATCTCACGGTTCGCGGGTTCGAGCCCCGTGTCGGGCTCTGTGCTGACTGCCAGCTCAGAGCCTGGAGCCTGTTTTAGTCTGTGACTCTCTCTCTCTCTGACCCTCCCCTGCTCACGCTGTCTCTCTCTCTCTCTCCTAAGAAATAAATAAAACATTAAAAAAAAAACTTAAAAAAAAAAAAGAATAGAGATTTCATGGACAACACAGATGACAGAAAACTGGACTGCAAGCCAATGAAGTGAGTTAACTGGTTTACTGTTACCTTGAGGATGTAGACTTTTGGGGACCCAGCTTAAAGTGGGCATGGTTTACATCGACTTTTATTCTCTTGATAGTCCCATCGAGTCTTATTTGAATGCTATGAATATGCTTATGGCTCCCAAACTTATTTATCTTGAGCACAGAGCTCTTTCTTGGATTCCAGACTCATATATCCAACTGGCTACTCAACATCTCAGTTTGGGTGTCTAGTGGGCATCTCAAACTAAACATGTTAAAGACAGACCCTTGAGTGTTTCCTCAGATAAATATCTTCTACCTCAAGCCTTCCACATCTCATTAAATGTCATCATTGTTTGCCTAGTTGCTTAGGAAAAAAACCCAACATTTTTCTCTGAGTCCTTCTCCCCATTTCCCCCATACTCAACCTAACAGCAAGTCCTGTCTGCTTATCTTCAAATTATACTCAATATCTTTCCATTTCTTTTTATTTGCTCCACCGCTCTTTTGGTCTAAATAATCTGTCCTCTCTTGTCTGGACAACTGCAGTAGCCTCTTAGCTGGTTTCCCTGCCTCTGCTTTTGCTCATGGAAGTTGTGTTACCACTGAGTTGGCATTCTCTGGAGTTCAGACATATGTGAGAGACCTGCTCTTGCCTCCCTACATCCATCATTTACTAACTCATTCAACAGATATTTAAGCATCTATCACATGCCAGGCACTGCTTAAGGTTCTGGGGATATACCATTGAACAACACCTTCAAAATCTGTGCTCTCAATGAACTTAGTTTCTAGTTGGGGAAAATAGACTATCGACATGTAAATGTATACTACTTCAGGTGCCAGTAAGTGCACTGAAAATGTGTGGTAGGAGCTGTATGTATACACAGTGTTCAGGGAACGCCTCACTGATAAAATGAAATTTGAGCAGCAGCCTGAAAGAAGTGAGAGAATGAACATTAGGGTATCAGAAGAAGAGAATTCCAAGCATAGAACACAAAGTGCAAAGGCCTAGAGAAAGGTATATATGTGTTCTATCTGAGGAAGAACAATGAGGCCAATGTGGTTAGAACAGAGTGAGTGGGAAACAATGGTAGGATACGAGAGCAGAGAGGTGTCAGAGGGTCAAATCTCAGAAACTTGAAGGCCATGTTGAAGGCTTTGAAATTTACCAAGAGTAGAAAGGAAATCCACTGGGAAATTTGGAGCAGAGAACAATAATCAGAATTACACTTTGAAAATTTACTTTAGCTGCTGTGTTGGGAAAACACCCTATGAGGGCCAGGCTGGAAGCTGAAAGTCCAGGTAAGAGGCTATTAACAATAATTTCGGTGAGAGTTGAGGATGGTTTAGACCAGAATGGTAGCCACTGACGTGGATACCAGTATCTGGATTCTTTTCCACCTATTCTGTCTTTAAGCCACTTCAAAAAGTCTTTTTAATCTCCATTATTCCATAAAAATACACTTTCAAAGTCACTGCTGACGTTTACTAATTGTCAGTCCTCGTCTTAGTTGAACTCTCAGTAATATTTGGCAGTTGATTACTCCATCTTTGTTTTTAAGCTTTATTTATTTTGAGAGAGACAGAGAGTACGGGGAGGGTCAGAGAGAGAGGGGGCCAGAGAGAGAGAATTCTAAGCAGGCTCTGTGCTGTCAGCGCAAAGCCTGGTGTAGGGCTTGAACTCACAAACTGTGAGACCATGATCTGAGCTGAAGTTGGACACTTAGCTGACAGCCACCCAGGAACTCCGAGTACTCCATCCTTGATGTGCTCTCATCTGGTCTGACACCAATTTTCTTTCATTTTTTTACTAACCCTCCTTTTAGTTACTCAGACCCTAAACACTGAAGTTATTCCTAACTCATCTTTTTTTCTCACAACCACATCTTTTCTCTCTAATCCATCAAAGAATACCGCTGGTTATAATTTCAAAAAATAACCAGAATTTGATAATGAACTGATAGTTGGATAAGATGAAAATGCACTGTAATGGAAAGTTGGAGATGGTTGACTAGGAAACCTGAGAGGCTGGCCTTAGGAGCACTGCCTATTTATTGCCATAAGCATGAAGACAGTACATGGTTACGGATGTCAAGAAATGTGTGGGAAGTTGGGAGGTTCATTGCACAGGCATTGGCTATCAATGAGTGGGGTGTTGGAGAATGGGTAAAAGGGGTTGGAGATTTAAGGAAAAAGAAAATTTAGGATAGGGGTCTAGGACAGTGGGAAAGTGAGTAGACTAGGGAAATATTCTATAGTTGCTGTGCAGCAGTAAGGGCCTACTTGAGGTAGACAGCGAGGTAAGAATGTGACAACGAGTAATGAAGAGGGCACCTAACCTTCCTCTAGGACCTATGTGATCTGACCACTGCTCATCTCCCATGACCACCCCCACCCCAGTTCTTCACGCTATTCCATTCTCAGAGCCTTGGCATGTCTTGTTTCCTCTGCCTGGAAACCACTGTCAGAGCTCCACCAGGCGTCCTCTTCTCATCATTTAGGTCTCAATTCCCCAGAGGATTTCTCTGACCAACACAGCTAATGTAACACCACCAGTCACTCTCTATTATATTAGATTCTATCTCCTGAAACAGCACCATCAAGATTCCCCTATTTATTTTTCTGCTGATTTATTACCTCTTGCTTCCCCCAGTAGAATGTAAGCTCCTATTTTGCTGCACCCTAGTGTATACAAGTGTGTCTGGCATATAGTAGGTGCTCAATAAATACTTGTTGATTGATTGACTCTCCATAAGACTCTCCTTATCTTTCAAATTTCTCTGTGCTTTCTCTTCCCTGCCCAACCTCCGTCTGCTTCCCTAACAATCAAATCCCCCCACTTTACTCCCTGGATCGCCAGTACCATGGAAAACAACGTTCCCTGGATCCTCAATGTCTTTACCACACATTTTACTTCTTCCTCCTGCCTCTCTCAGAACCTTTTCATAACATTGATTGCTCCTCAGCTCACAAGGTTGATAGGTGAGGCTGACTTTCTTCCTGCTCCCCATTGATGCTTCTTGACCCTAACCCATTTACCTTTTTGTAACTCTCATTGTTGGTGTCAGTATCTAATCTCCTATTTTCTCCTCAGCTCCATCTACACTTTGCTTCCTGGATCTTGGGGTTCCTCTATAAAGCAATTGTTGGAGACTTATTCCTGCAGATTAGCTGTGTTTTTCATATTGTTTCAGCACCTGGTAAAGTCAGATGTAGCAACAGCAGGACAGAGGAATAATCAATGCACCCATACCTGTTTCTTAGTGCATGGGGAGATGTGCTCATTCCATAATCCCAGAGACGCTCCACTGCAGCAATGAAATAGTGTCGTGTTCTCTTTTGAAAGCTGCGAAGGCCTTGATTTTCATCTTCACCATAGATGTCAAAATCATCTCTCTTCATTTCAGTTGAGAACAAATCATCATACTCAATTTTGTCTTTCTCTGGCTGAAGAGTAGTAAGGGTTATTTCCCTTTGATGGCGTTTTGAGACTGGTGGGTTCTCTGTGCACAGTCTTCTGGTCTCTCCTTGCTTTGCCCCGGTGGCTTCTCTTTGGAGTTTACCTTGTCCTTCATTTATTGCTGCTATTGAATGACTGTTTTCACAAGGGCCCAGGGGCAAAATAGTGTCCTTGCTCTTAAAAGGTATGTTTTCCTGCGACTTCTTTTGGGATTTCCACTCTTCTCTTGGTATCTGGGTAGCTCTGTTGTTATCCCAAGTAAGGGGGCCCAGCAGCTCAGAGTGAATCTTTTCAGAGCTGTCTGTTGTCCATTTCAGAAAGGGCATGTTTCCAGATCCATTTATTTTCTTTAATTTAACAGCTCCCTGGGTTTTCTGAAAGAAGATCTTCTCCATGAGATCCAGGCGGCCAGAAGAATCATTGCTAGCTTTTGTAGGGAAAGAGTCTTCTTGATGAACATGAGCTTTCGGGAGTGACTCACCTTTGCCAAATGCTTCAGACAAGCCTGGTTGCAAAAGAGTGTTTTCGCGCTTCTTGTACACGAGTTGGTTTGTGGTGTTTTTCCCTAGGGAGCTGAATTTTCCTTGACCTCCAGTCATTTCTGAGGTTAGGAAGGCTACAGAAAGGTTATTTCTCTTGGTTCCTTGTGAGAAATGACTGCTTTTTTGGACCCCAGAACTGCTCTCCCTGAAGGTATAACTGCAGGCTGATACTGTATGTCTAGCTGATGGAAATGCTGATTCCTTTGCAATGGGCAATGCAGAGTCATTCATTTGAATGGTGCCCTGATTCCCCAGAGAGCAATTTGAAAGGAGGGACTGAGTGGTAGCCCCTTTATCTTTCTCATTGTCCTCTATCTGTGTGAGGGTGCCATGAGTCAAATAGTTCATGTTTTTGGATGACCGGGTTGAGGTGTCATTCAAAATCACCCCCCTTGCAAACGTTATTTCTTCTAGTGAGAGTTTGGATTGTTTCAAGGCCCGCTTCCCACGCCGAGTGAGACTATTATGCTGACTTGGATTAGAAGGCGTCCTCGGAGTGCTTGAAGACCTCTCTGCCATTTCCTTTGTTTGATTTCCCAAACTTTCCAACTTTTCTTCCTCACTTATTTTTGAGAAATGGACCTTGTGAATCCCTGCTCTATGTGCTGAATCATTTAATGAACTGGTGTCTTGAAGTATTGGAGTATATGGCCCCTCATCTAAACCTTCTACATTTTGCTTGGTGCTTAGTAACAAAAGGTCCTTCAGGGAATTCTTAGTGTCAGTCACTGTATATCCCTGAGGCAAAACCACATTCTCTTGGGTTAATTTCTCCTTTCTTTCTATGTCTTCCTGAGGTTTTTCTTCTTGATTGTAGGTATCACTTTCTTGGACATTAGCCAAGTTAGTAAGAAATATGCTCTTGCTGTTCGGAAAACTCATCTCTTTGCGTTCTGTGTCCTTGGTAAATTCATCCTTTCCTACTACCACCTTCTGCTCTGACAAAAAATTCCGATCTTTCACAGAGTTTTCTGACCCTAAAGATGTTAATTGCGTGGGACTGGGCCTTTGCCCAGAGCTTAGGGAGTTCTCACCATGGGTTCTTTTTATCCAGTTTGCTGAATCTGGCGAGAACAATATCTTGAAGAATGAGAGATCTGGATTTTCTGCATCTAGTAGCACGGGGCCGTCTTTGTTTTGGCGGGCCACTTCCACATTTTTTGATGAAGTAGTTTTATTTGACACATGATTTAGCCCCAAAGCTGTAATATTTCTGTCCATAAATGTTTCATTGTGAATCAAAGAAGTCACTTCTTGAAACTCAGCATTACGTTGTAATGTAGTATCTTGCCAGACTGATGTACTGTTCTCAGTTAATGCTGGGACATCAACATGAGACTTGCTATTAGTTGTTGAGTTCATTGGTGACTTGTTTGTCTTTATCAAAGAGATATTGACTTTGAATAAAGCGTTATCTTTGATTAATGAAGCAGGTTCCTGAACTCTGTCTTCTTTAAATAACCCATTACTCTCCACTGGTAATACATTTTCTCCCAGTGAACTTTTTTGACTATTCATTAAAGCTGCTTCTAACAACTTGGAATCATTATCTCCTTCACTCAAGCCCAAAGGTATGCCAGACTGAATAGAGTGAGATGAATTTTCACCAAATACAATGGTACTTAAATGACTACTAAAGTGAACTGACATATTTGGGGGTGCTAAGGAATCAGTCTTCTCAGTACCTGCTGCCAACTTGTCTGATGGAATTGTTGGTGAAGCCATTAGGTTATCTGATGAACTAGAAATTTTTAAATCAAGGTTCTTCATCTCTGCTTTTACAGGTGTCCCCAAATTCCCATTTAATCTTAATTTTAGTTCTGGCTCAGGAGTAAACCCTCTGTCGCCACCGTGATGGAGCTCTGGTCTGAGATCTGACACTTCAGATGGGCCCTTGTCTCTTTCTATAGCTCCAAGTAAATGATCATCAGCTTCATGTGTGATTTCTTGGAGATCAGATAAGAGTAATCCATGTGGAGTAGGATTCTGTCCCACCAGCATCAACAAATCACTAGAAGACACACTTTGTACTTTAAGCAGCTGTGTTCCTTCTCCAGGGTGAGGGTCCATCTGCTCTATGTCATCTTCTGGAGTTGTGGTGGCTTTGAATTGCTTTTGCCTAGTGCTACGGTGTCTTGGATTCTGGGAGAAGCTTCTGGGTTCAATGACGTTATTTTCATTCAGCAGGGAGGCTGGAATATCTTCATATATATCCTCATAATAATCACCAATGTTCCCGTCACAACTGGAAACCTTCAATAGGGCTGTCATGCCTCTGCTCCGGAAGTCTGAGTTGTGGCAGCCCAGCACCCACAGACCTGTGGAGGAAGAATACGACTCTGGTTACTCACAGCCGCGTCCCAAGCAAGCTACGTATGAGTGCTTCTCTTCCGTTCCGCGGATAATGCAAACATATCAGTCGGTACCATGGTATTACAGGTTAAAACCCTGGCACATGAAACAGTCCAACAATGGTAGTGAAAGTACTTTTCTGCACTGCCGCTGTTTTCGTATATCTGTCTGTGATCACCAGAAAGGCTGTGATTAAAAAATTAATAGATATTGGAATAAAAATGGAGAAATAGAATTAACATATACAGCAGTGGAGAGTCTTAATAGTCACACAGAACTCTTTGATGATGATAGTGACTTAATTCCTGAAAGTGTACATAGGCTCGGTATTATTGCTATATTATATAATGGCACAGGGTCTTACAGTCAGATTGCCTGGGTTCAAATCCTAGCTCTACCATTTAGCAGCTGTGTGATTTTGAGTAAGCCAACTGATCTCTCTGAGCTCCACTTTTCTAATTTGTAAATGAGGCTAATAGTATCTCCCTTATCAAATATGTATGCAAATCACATATCAATGACTAGCTTCCATTGTCATCCATTTGCAGGATAAGTAAGCGCAGAGGAGTAGGAGTTCGGGTTAAGATCCACATAATAGAAAATCCCACTACTGTGCTAGCAATGTTAATTTCTGCTGTGAACAAGATTATTCAAGTGAAGGAAATTTATAGTGGTAAAGTAGATGCATAAACATAAGTAAACCAAGATACATCTCTACCAAGCTACTCATCAGGTATCTTAAGAGCCTCCACATCTTGCTAGACATTTGTAAGCAAAATCTCACTGAATCCAGCTTTCCCTCAAAGGAAAAACTTTCCTCAAAGTATATTTCCATAGAGACCTATGGGATAGGAGATAATGGGATGCCCATGGAAAAGGTCTTTATGGTCAAATGCATTTTGGAATCAATGCACGTTGCACTTTATGTGCAAATAATCAATCAGATGGGAAGCGAGAATAGATAAAATTTTATATCATACGAGGATTTAGAAAATCTACCTTTAAGGCAGCCTACCCTCAGGAAGTGATGGGAGAACGTTTTCTACCAAAATAAAGGAGTATGACAAGGGTGACACGGAATGCAGGAAGTCAGTGCTTATCCTGAAGGGTGATGAAGAAAAGTCCCAAATTAAGAACTGATACTCAGACCTAGAAAAAACCAGCTCAGAGGCGCCTGGGTGGCTCAGTCAGTTGAGCGTCCGACTTCAGCTCATGTTATGATCTCGCACTTTGTGCGTTTAAGCCCCGCATCGGGCTCTGTGTTCACAGCCAGCTCAGAGCCTGGAGCCTGCTCCCGATTCTGTGTCTCCCTCTCTCTCTGACCCTACCCTGTTCACGCTGTCTCTGTCTCTCAGAAATAAATAAAAAAACATCAAAAAATTAAAAAAAAAGAAAAAGAAAAAACCAGTCCAGACTGGAGGAGGAGGATGCATGGGTCCAGGAGGTCGGTTCTAAGTAAAAAAGAATATGTTGTATGATAACACTTGAAAAAAAAAAAAAGAGAATAACTAAAGGGAAAACATTACAACAAAGACAGTAAAACAATTAGAAGTTTCAGTTAAACAAGTTATAAAATTAAGAAATGTAATCCTATTTGATTCCACAGTGAAGATTTACATAGTCATAACAATGTGCTTTCACTAAAAATAGGGACATAACTGTATCATAAGTTTGCAGATTGGGAGTCCAAATTTGATGACATTTAGAGCATATTTTTGATGGCGTACAATGATGTTGGGTCAGAGTAGATCAAGACTGGACCTGTAATGAGTAACTGAAGTAAGGTTTTTGACTCTTAAAGTTCTACTGTTATAACTTAGACACAACCCCTTCCTTCTTTTTCCTAAGGAGGACAGTGGTTGAGTGACAGAAGGGAAAATGAAACTCCATCAACAGGTTTGGAATGACACACACCAAACTCTGAGAAGGGCCTGGGACTGGGATCAGCGATCAAGAAGGACTGTAGTTATACCAGTATTGGTGCAAAGTTTGTAATGAGCACATCTTTTTGTGTTACATGCATGAATAAAAACTAATTCAAAACCCAATTCATTAAATCTCAATCGAAGAGCTTAAAGGAGAGTTGACTCTTTGATGAAAAATTCAATAAAATAAATAACCAAATAAAAATAAGAAATTCTACACGTATAAAATTTGGAATAAGAAAGGAGACATAGTTACAGTTGCAAAGAAAATTAAAAGAGCTGTAATTCCCTTGGAGACACCAGCTGGCAATCCCCTCCTTCACCTTCTGCCCCAGGGTCAGTGCGTGTAGACCAGTCTCCTGCCTCAGTGACACAACCAGGCCTTTCAGGGAACTAGTTATTTCTATGAGCTGTTGTCTATCTTGGAATTAGTTTTTATGAAATTGACCCAGAGAGACAGAGCCAAACTAATCACAAAGAGGTAGAAGCACATCTCAGGCTCCAGCACACAAGAGCTCTTTAGTCATCCAAGGCCGGTACAATGTCCCCACTATGAAATACTAAGCGATGTTTTATTTTTTTATTTTTTAAATATTTTTTTATTTCTAGGAGGGAGAGAGAGACAGCGTGAGCAGGGGAGGGTCGGAGAGAGAGGGAGTCACAGACTGAAACAGGCTCCAGGCTCCGAGCTGGCAGTCAGCACAGAGCCCGACGCGGGGCTCGAACCCACGAACCGCGAGATCATGACCTAAGCGAAAGTCGGATGCTTAACCAACTAAGCCACCCAGGCGCGCCTTAAGCGATGTTTCAAAAAGAATCATGATCATCTATATTTATTAGATGTATATAGAGAGAAACACCAAACATATCACTAAGGAAAAAAGCAGGTCACAAAACATGATAAAACCACCATTCCACCGTCTCTAAGAGAGGTGCTGAGGGCTGCTGGACTCCTGGCACAGAGGCCTTGCTGGTGGCGCTCGGTTCCGGGGCAGAGCTGTGCGTGCAGTAGTGGTAGCCCGGGTTTTCAAGGTGCAAACACTCAGACTGACAGTGGAGTCAGGGTCCCAGGGTCAGGTGTGCGTGAAACTACCATGCTCCCGGGTCTCGGAGCACCATCTGCTGTGGTGGTGGCCACAGCTCAGGCGGGAGTGGATCCCCCTGGAGCTGGGGTCTGGGTCTCTGTGGCATGCCACGTGGCCTAGGCTCTGGCGGGAGGGGTGCACTGATGGCGTGGCACGTAGCGGGCAGAGCCCCAGGGATGACGGGATATTGCAGTGGTGCCACGGGCCCTGAGGATGGCGGGTGCTACGGAGGCCTCCTGGGCAGAGGATGCGGCTTAGACTCTGAGCCACTCGGTCGGCTGGCTTCGGCGTCTGAGACCGGGTGGGACCTCAGGTGCTGAAGGCTGCAGGTGTCCCTGTTTGGGTCCCATTTCTTTTCCCCGTGAACAAGTCCCTCAGAGGGGTTTCCCCTTGGCATCGGGCCGCTCCAGAGTGAGGGACGGAGTGACGCAGGGAAGGTGCGTCCTACACTTCTCTATGTGGCCAACCTCGGTTTTCGTGCTCCAAGTGCTTCTGGTGCTTCTTCATCGTGCTTTGGAGGTGTCCCACAGCTCCTTTTTATTGGTATGTAGCTGTTTATTTGTTGTTTTGTTTCGTGAGAGTGATGAGAGTGGCATTTAAAAAAATGTTTACTTTTATTTTTGAGAGAGAGAGAGAGAGTGCGAGTGGGGGAGGGACGGAGACAGAGAGGACAGAGGATCTGAAGCAGGCCCTGTGCTGTCAGCACAGAGCCTGGTGCGGGGCCTGAACTCATAAACCGTGAGATCATGACCTGAGCTGAAGATGGACACTCAACCGACTGAGCCACCAGGGGCCCCATGGAGTGGCATTTGTAATGTTTTAAATTTTCATTTCTTTAAAGTTCATGTATATATTTTGAAAGACAGAGGGAGTGGTATGGACAGAGAGAGGGAGAAAGAGCATCCCAAGCAGCCTCCATGCAGTCAGCACAGAGCCTGACGCAGGGCTCAAACCCATGAACTGTTGAGATCATGACCTGATCCAAAGTTGGCTGCTTAACCAGCTGAGCCACCCAGGTGCCCCTTGAGCAGCATTTTTTAAAGGCTGTTTTTAAAGGCTGGGAAAAAAAAAAACCTGAGATAAAACATAGCAAAACAAACCTACCAACCCGGAATTCTATACACAGTGAAAATATCATTCAAAATTTCAGGAAACATAAAGACTTTTTAGACAAGCAAAAACTGAGAGGATTAATTAACCAGCAGACTTGCACTACAGGAAATGTTAGCTATACTATAAATATAAGGGCACAGATAGGTTGTAAGTACACGAAGGGAAAAATACACATCATACAGACATTCAAAATAGGGGCGCCTGGGTGGCTCAGTCGGTTCAGTGTCCGAGTTCGGCTCAGGTCATGATCTCACGGTTCATGGGTTCGAGCCCCATGTTGGGCTCTGTGCTGACAGCTCAGGGCCTGGATCCGGCCTTGGATTATGTGTCTCCCTCTCTCTGCTTCTCCCCTGCTCACACTCTGTCTCTCTCTCAAAAATAAACAGTAAAAAAAAGTTAAAAAAAAAAAGAAGAGAAAAATAATAGACTGAACAATCATAGTTAAAGCTTTCAACACACTAACTGTACAAAGCAGACAAAATATGAGTAAACTTATAAGGGATTTAACAACATAGTAAGGCAACTTGATAAACATGACAAATATGTAGCAGCCCACCCACCAAGCACAGGAAAACACATTCACTTTAAGTGCAGCTAGCCCATTAGCCAATGTAAACCATATGCTGGGCGTACAGCAAGTCTCAACAAATTGTAAACACTTAAAATCATACTGGGTATATGACTACCGTAAAGTCAAAATAAGAAATCAGCAATACAGAAATAACTAGAAGATGCCTATATGTGTAGAAATCTAACAAAATACCTTTAAATAACTATGGGTAAAAGAAGAGATCACAGTGGAATTTAGAAAATATTTCAAACCCAGTTGTAATAAAATATGACTCATGAAAACTTGTGATATGTGTGGTGTTTTTCCTCCCTGCTCTTACCAGTTTTATGCAAAAGTGAGGCACACACATAAAAACTAAAAGACATAGGCATTGGAAAGGAAAAGCCAAAACTGTCAGTATTTGCAAACAATTTGACTGCCTACATAGAAAACTTTATAGGATTCTAGATCTTATTATTGAATTTGGCAAGGCTGCAAGATACGTGGTCAATAAACACAAAATTGGTATATTTGTGTAGATACATGTGTTCTAATAACTTTATTTGCCAAAATAGGTGACCAACCTGCTGACTATAGTTTCATTTTTTACTGAGATGCAATGGACAGATATCATTACATAGGTTTAAGGTGCACAACATACTGACTTGATACATTTATATGACAGTCTGATGTCCACCACGACATCGCCTAGCACTGCTGTCACATGGTATAATCATCATCTCGTTTCTGTGGTGATGCGTGCTTAAGGTAGAGTGTAAAGTGGCCTCTCTAGTAATAAGAAGAATGAAGCACTGATACACGCTACAACGTGAATGGAGCTTGAGAACATCGTGCTGGGGGTGACCAGGTGGCTCAGCGGGTTTAGGGGCCAACTTTTTATTTTGGCTCAGGTTACGATCTCGTGGTCATGGGGTCAAGCCCCATGTTGAGCCCCGCATCAGGCTCAGTGCAGAGCGTGGACCCTACTTGGGATTCTCTCTCTTTCTCTCTGCCTATACACACACACACACACACACACACACACACACTTTTCCTTTCGGGTTTAGACAGTTATAACCATATTATACACAATGTTTTATCATCTTTTTGTACATATTTAATTCATTTGTTAATTTAAAAAAATATTTATTAAGCACTTACTCTAGGCCGGGAACTATAAACATTAGATATAGTGATGAGTAAGATAAACAAGGTCTCTGTCCTCTGTGAGTTAGAAACTTAGTAGGAAAACAGATAACAAAGACCTATGTGTACCAGATACTTCCAGGGACACTGCTGGGGTTCTGCCAGGCTCTTCTCTACTCACTTGCCACAAAACTCCATCACTTGTAAGTACGATAAGTTTCCGGTTATAAAGGTGAATATATGTTTATATATGATGAGACTGGTTTTTTTCCCCAGAAATTTCACTGTGAGAATTTATGGCCAGAAAAGCCTTCAGTGTAAGAGAAGTTCTACCATCTGCAGGTAGATTGACATGCTCTTCCCCACAGACGACAGAGGTGGGAAGGCTGGGAGCATGGAGCGGCCTAGCACCCGTTACCACGCTGTATGGACATAGCAACAATCTGTGTTGGATTTTGGCCATGTCAGTGTTTTTCCTGACAGCAGTGGTTAGGGAGGGAGACGGAAGATGAGAAAGTGACGGCCACATCCATCCTGAAGGCTCCCCAGTGTTTTGAGGGTACATGTGCCAAGAGTGTGCTACGTACTCTCGAAGGCTTCTCCGTGGTATTCATACAACAGTATCAGTGTTCACAAAGCACACAGAAACATGTTCAACTCACACATGTTAACTGCATCTATAAATATATATACACCACTACAGTTTAGTAAACACACTTAAAGTTTTGGGCAGTGGTAAGTAAAGGCATTTATAGGGGAAAGACTTTCAGTTAAATATTTGATGTGGTGCTCATTAAAATGCTTTGCAATTACTAAGGTCACTTGATCTGCTTAGTATCCACCCCCATGTGAGCTACTGGGCAACACAGCATATGAACGGCGAGTGAAGACATCACAGCTGTTAGTGAAAGAATTATATAAATAGCTAACCTGGATTTTCCATTGACATGAAGACAGTTTCTCCTGAGAACGGGAATAGGGTCAGTGTGTCTTCGTAGACCATTTTGTGTTTGAAGGTATATCCAGAGAAGAAGACAGACAGGAAGTCAGTTTGTGCTCCAACGCTTAGAATGTACCAGTATGCCACTTCGTGCAAACAACTTGACAGCTGCAAGTTGTCAAAAACATAGCCGTTGATGCCTGCAAACCAAATGGGAACAAGACATTTGATTCATTATTGTGGGTTGTTGTGATATGATGAGAAATAATGATACGTTACACCCACTACCTTATTCCCAAGAAGAGGCAGTGCTATACTTTCCAACATTGTTAGTACTTGATCAGTTAGCTCCCAATCCCAAAGTGAGAAAAGTCATAGACCTTCACCCTCCATGAACTAGAGAGGGAAATGCTACAAAAGATGGCATTGATTTATACAATTGGAATATTGTATTGTAGCAATGTTAAATTTATTCAGTTTCATAACTCCACTTCGGTTATGTAAGAGAATGTCTGTATTCATTGTAAACACGGAATGAAGCATTCTGAGATAAAAGGGCATGATGTCTGCAATGTGTTCTCAATTGGAAAATAAGCAATAAAAGTATACAGAGAAAAAAAAAGAATGATAAAGTAAATATGGACAAATATTAAAAATTAGTGCATCTGGGTAGAAGATATATGAGAGTTCTCCATGCTATTCTTGTAGAATTTCTGTAAGTTTCAAATTATTTCTACATAAAAGCTAAACAAAAGTAATAGCAACTTTGTTCTATAAAGGGAATTGTTTCTTTTTTTTTTTTTTAATGTTTTATTTATTTCTAGGAGAGAGAGAGACAGCGTGAGCAGGGGAGGGTCAGAGAGAGAGGGAGTCACAGACTGAAACAGGCTCCAGGCTCCGAGCTGGCAGTCAGCACAGAGCCCGACGCGGGGCTCGAACCCACGAACCGCGAGATCATGACCCAAGCGAAAGTCGGACGCTTAACCGACTAAGCCACCCAGGCGCCCCTAAAGGGAATTGTTTCTGAAAGCCTATTCCATACATCTCTCCATCTACTTATTCAATAAATGTCTATTCTGCGTGGTCATCCACAAATCCACTAAGCACTGTTCAGACTCTAGCTCAGGGCAACTAAGAGAGAATCAAAATTTCTTGCCCTATGAAGCATTAAAAGGTATTATCCATCTATTGTAATTGAAGGTGTGGTCCTCCACAGGTATAGATGAATATATACATCAGAATATAGAGTCCAGAAAGAGATACAGATATATATGGGAATTTAATACATGAGAAAGGCAGCATTTCAAACTGGTAGAAAAAGAGAATGAGCTGTTTGTTAAATGCTGATGGAAAATATGACTATTCATTTATTTTTTAATTAATTTTTAAAAAGTTTATTTATTTTGAGAGAGAGAAACAGAGCATACAAGCAGGGGAGGGGCAGAGAGAGAGAGGAGAGAGAGAATTACAAGTGGGCTCTGCACTGTCAGCACGGGCCCAATGCAGGGCTTGAACTCACAAACTGTGAGATCATGACCTGATCCGAAACCAAGAGTTGGATGCTTAACTGACTGAGCCATCCAGGTGCCCTGAAAATATGACTATTCATATGGAACCACAAAAGTCTCTGAATAGCCACAGCAATCTTGAAAAAGAACAAGGCTGGACGCATCACAACTGCTGATTTCAGGCTACACTACAAAACTGTAGTGACTGAAGCAGCCTGGTATTGGCACAACAACAGGCACAGACCAGTTGAACAGCATCAAAGCCCAAAAAATAAACCCTTAAATATATGGCCAACTGGGGCACCTGGGGGGGCTCAGCTGGTTAAGTGTCCGACTTTGGCTCAGGTCATGATCTCACAGTCTGTGAGTTCGAGCCCCGCATTGGGCTCTGTGCTGCCAGCTCAGAGCCTGGAGCCTGTTTCAGTCTGTGACTCCCTCTCTCTCTGACCCTCCCCTGCTCATGCTGTCTCTCTCTCTCTCTCTCAAAAATAAATAAACATTAAAAAATTTAAATATATTGCCAACTAATATTTGATAAGGCAATCAGGAATATCCAATGAGGGGCGCCTGGGTGGCTCAGTTGGTTAAGTGTCTGACTTTTGATATTAGCTCATAGTTTGTGAGATCAAGCTCCGTATTGGGCTCTGTGCTGACGGCATGAAGCCTTCTTGGGATTCTCTCTCCCCCTCTCTCCCTGCTCCCTCCCTGCTCGCAAACTTGGTTGTGCTCTCTTTCCTTCTCTCAAAAATAAATAAATAAACTTAAAAAATAGTCAATGAGGAAAGGGCAGTGTCTTCAATAAGTGGTGCTGGGAAAACTGGACAGGCACCTGGAGAAGAAAGAAACTGAGCCCTTAGACCATACACAAAAATTAGCTTGAAATGGATTGCATACTTAAACATAAGACCTGAAAGTATAAAACTGCTAGAAAACACAGGGAAAAGGCTCTTTGACATCTATTTTGGTGCTGATTTGTCTCAGCATGCCACCAAGAGCACAAGCAACAAAGGCAAGATTAACAAGTGGGACCACATTAAACTAAGAAGCTTCTGCCCAGCAAAAGAAGCAATCAACAAAATGAAAAGGCAGCCTAAGAAATAGGAGAAAATCTCTGCAAATCATTTCTCTAACAAGGGGTTAATATCCAAAATATATAAAGAACTCATAAAACGAAATAACAAAAAAAACCCTGATTTTTATTTTATTTATTTTTTCAAATTTATTTATTTGTTTGTTTGTTTTTTATTTATTTATATTTTTTCATTTTTTCATTTTTTTTTACAAATAGTTTATTGTCAAATTAGTTTCCACATAACCCCCAGTGCTCATCCCCACAAGTATCCTCCTCCATGCCCCTCCCCCCTCCCCCCCACATCCATCAGTCCTCAGTTTTTGTCAGCATTCAAGAGTCTCTCATGGTTTGCCTCTCTCCCCCTCCCCCACTATTTCCCCCCTTCGTCTCCCCCTTGGTCCTCCGGCAAGTTCCTCCTAATCCTCCTATACGTGCAACCCCCTGATTTTTCAAAAGGGCAAAGGTAGGGCAGCTGGGTGGTTCGGTCAGTTAAGCGTCTGACTGTTGACTGGTCAATACGAAAAGAGTTCATCATTCATCATCAGGCAAATGTGATCATTAGTGAAATAAATCAGACAGAGACAGAGAAAGACAAACACTGTATAATTCCACTTATATGAGGAATCTAAAAAAGCTGAACCCATAGAAACAGAGAGTGTAATAGTGGCTACCAGGGGTAGGGGGACATGGGGAGATGTTGGTCAAAGGGTACAAACTGTCAGTTATAAGACAGATAAGTTCTGGGGATCTAATTTACAGCATAGTGATTATAGTTAATAATACTGTATTATTACTGTATTATAGTATTAATGGTGTATTAATAATACTTGAAAGCTGCTAAGAGAGTAGATCTGAAATGTTCTCACTAGAAAAAAAGAAACAATAGTTACGGGACTTGATGGAAGTGTCAGCTGACATTATGGTGGTAATCATTTTGCAAAATATAAGTCTATCAAATCAACACACTGTACACATTAAACTTATACAATGTTATATGTCAATTATATTTCTGGAATATCTGGAAATGAAACAAGGCAAAGAACAACCTCAGAACTTTGTGTGAATGGCAATATTTCAAGAGTAATTCTGCCCAGGGGCACCTGGGTGGCTGAATTGGTTGAGAGTCTGACTCTTGATTTTGGCTCAGGTCATGATCCCAGGGTCCCAGGATCGAGCCCTACATCTGGCACTGCGCTGAGCATGGAGCCTGCTTAGGATTCTTTCTCTTGCCCCAACTTGTGCTCTCTCTCTCTCACTAAAAAGAAAAATAATAAATACATAAGTAAAATAAAATTTTAGTTTTAAGTAATCTCCACACCCAATGAGGAGCTCAAACTTACAAGCTTGAGATGAGGAGCTGTGCGCTCTACTGACAGAACCAGCCAGGTATCCTGAGCGCATTTTATAGTAAGGATGGATTATGCATATTTGGGTAAATGAAAGTTGTGTCTTATTTGATTTAGCCCTTAAGAATAAACTTCTCTGAATACGTGACACCTTCTAAAAGACAAAAGTGTATGCATTATATGATCACACATATGCACTTACAGAACACTGTATATGTTCATATGTAACAATTTTGAAGGAAATAAGACTCTTGCCCGAAATATCAATTAATCCATTATCTGTGCACCAATTTGGTGGCTTCAATTTACCTTTATCCATAACCCTCTGGACTTAAGTGTTGCTGCTTTACTTACTGTGCATGACGTTGGAGACCTGGAACTCTGGGTCATGGGGCGGCACTGCGTCTGCGTTGGGGAGGAAGCGCTTCATATTTTCTGCGAGGTACCAGCTTCGGTTCTCATCAAATATAGAAAATAGGATAACATTTCTCTTGTCTGACATCATCTGTTAATTGCACACATTGAAAGAAAGAAATGCTATGAATCTTGTAAGGTGAAATTAACAGTCTACACAGAAGTGATGGCACCCGTGTGCTGTACCTATACTGAATCCTTCAGTTCAATCAACTTCTCCCTCAGGTCACTGTTGTGACACAAAACGGGGCCTGGGAGGAGGAGCAGGTGCTACGAGCAGTGAGTATACGTTTAGAGCAGATGTGCCCTCAAAGCAAGAGGGTGACTGGACCCACTAACTTTGTTCCTTCTGGACCCAAAGCCAAACGCCGGCTGATTTTTTAGTACAGTCTGCAGCCTCATTTCCTCCAAGTTCAGATTAGAGGATTTTCATTCTTTAAAGACTCAAGTGATTATTCACCGTTTTTCTTAAACAAGTTAGTCAAGTCAAGTAAGACTCATGCCTTTCCTAAACTTCCATCTGGCAAGTGCCCTTCCACAAAGCTACCAATCTATTAAAAATTAAAAACAGAAAACAGAAATCAAATAACAAAGTTAAGATGGACCATAAAATGTTAACTAACACTATTATCTTAAATTTTCTGTTTTAATTTTTTTAATGTTTATTTTTGGGAGATAGGGACAGAGCATGAATGGGGGAGGGGAAGAGAGAGAGAGGGAAACACAGAACCCAAAGCAGGCTCCAGGCTCTGAGCTGTCAGCACAGAGCCCCACACGGAGCTCAAACCCACGAACTGTGAGATCATGACCTGAGCTGAAGTCGGACACTTAACCGACTGAGCCACCCAGCTGTCCCTTAAGTTTTCTGTTTAAAAAGTTTAAAGTTCTTGGGGCACCTGGGTGGTTCAGTCGGTTAAGCATCTGACTTCAGCTCAGGTATGATCTCCTGGTTCGTGGATTCGAGCCCCGCGTCGGGCTCTGTGCTGACAGCTTAGAGCCTGGAGCCTGTTTTGGATTCTGTGTCTCCCTCTCTCTCTGACCCTCCCTGCTCATGCTCTGTCTCTCTCTCTCTCTCTCTCTCTCTCTCTCTTTCTCTCTCAGAAATAAATAAAACATTAAAATTTTTTTAAAAAAAGTTTAAAGTTATTTTCAGAAAAGCAATTTGTATATGAACCAAAATTATGAGTCACTTGCTAACTGAATCTGTTAAGACTTAATGTGTGAACTGCACTAATAGTATAAATTTCAATTTGTGTAACCTAGTACTACAGACACCAAAATGCGAGGGGAGGAGACTGGAAAATATAGAAGTACATTTCAATCCTCTTCCCAAACCTAGTGGGAAAACTATAATTAGGAAAAAAATTTCAGGACTGGTACTTGGCCAACTTTATGCCTCTTGGGTTTGTGTTGGGTTTTAAAATACACGTGCTTTATTCCCTCAATCAATGCAATGTTTTCAGACTAGTACAAATCCTGTGATTCATATATAACCACATTGACATGTAGTTAAGCCTCAGCAATATGGCATTGAGTTACTCTGGGTCCAGGCAATGAGTTTTTGACAAGCATGAGGCAGTTCTTATTCAGACAATTTAACTTTATTTATTTATTTTTTAAATGTTTTTATTTATTTCTAGGAGAGAGAGAGACAGCGTGAGCAGGGGAGGGTCAGAGAGAGAGGGAATCACAGACTCTGAAACAGGCTCCAGGCTCTGAGCTGGCAGTCAGCACAGAGCCCGACGCGGGCCTCGAACCCACAAACCGCGAGATCATGACCCAAGCGAAAGTCGGACGCTTAACCGACTAAGCCACCCAGGCGCCCCTAACTTTATTTTTTTAAAGCAACATAACTGGTCTAAATTTTAAACATTTCTGAAAGATTTTATATCTTTTCCTGTATTTTGCTCAACAAATATTTATGGCACGCCTACTACATGCCATGCACTATGCTCGATGCTGCAGATATGTTAATTTTGAGTCACATGTGATGGGTAATCCAGGGAAGAAGGCTGGTAGCTCAGCATGGAAACATGAGCAAGATCACCTAAAGAAAGTGGAATTAAAATTTTTAACGTTTTATTTATGTAAGTCATCGCTACACCCAATGAGGGGCTCAAACTCATGACCCCAAGATCAAGAGACATGTGCTCTTCTGACTGAGCCGGCCAAGCACCCCCAGAAAGTAGAATTCTAGACTGGAAATATTCTAGAGCCTAGGCTCTCCTATCCCTCCAGCGGGCAAGTTTATGACATAAAACTAAATTCAAACAACAGCTGTGAGAAACCCAGCTCATTTCTTTTATTGGCCAGTTTGGCTACTGTATCTTCTGCAGGCTATTGGGGGACACACATTGAGAGAGCATAGCAAATATCTACAAGTTCATATTCACCTTCAGTCCATAAAACATAGATCTTGGAAAGAGAAGAACTCACCTGGTTTCCTCTTTGATCTACAGATTCTTTGTAGCAGATGAGGAGAGGGCCAATGAGTCCTGAAGCTAGATCTCTCTCTGGATTAATGACACTTGAGTAATATCGAGTCAGGCACCGAGGATCTGATTTAGTTGGCCCGTCTTCTACAGTCACTGTCCATTTATACTTGAATATTTCTCCTGGCAGAATTGCCATATCTTTCAAATGTTTCACACCTATGCACACCCAAACCACAAAATATCTTGATTAGAGTATAACAAGCCCCATATTAGTAAATCATGTTGTTATTTCAAAGGCTCTACAAATTTATATATACATATCAAGTTTCTCAATAAATTGAAACTAAATTTGCACCTATTATAAGTTTAAGATTCATGCAATTGTTTTGCAGTAAAAGTGGGTCCAAGACTTCAAGATATATTACAAAGCTGTAGTGATTAAAACAGTATGGTGCTGGCACAAAGACAGACACATAGATGAATGGGACAGAATAGAAAACCCAGAAACGGACCCACAGCTATATGGTCAACTAATCTTCGACAAAGCAGGAAAGAATACCCAACAGGAAAAAGACAGTCTCTTCAACAAATGGTGTTAGGAAACCTGGACAGCGACATGCAAAGCAATGAAACCGGACCACTTTCTTACACCACACACAAAAATAAATTCAAAATGGATTAAAGGCCCAAATGTCAGACCTGAAACCTATAAAAATCCTAGAAGAGAGCATAGGCAGTAACCTCTTTGACACTGGCCATAGCAACTTTTTTTCCTAATAGGTTCCCTGAGGCAAGGAGATAAAATTTAAAAATGAGCTATTGGGACTTCATCAAGATAAAAAGCCCCTGCAAAGCAAAGGAAACAATTAACAAAACTAAAGGACAACTGATGGAATGGAAGAAGATATTTGCCAATGATTTATCAGTTAAAGGGTTACTATACAAAATCTATAAAGAACTTATCAAACTCAATACCCAAAAAGTGAATCATCCAATTAAAAATTGGGCAGAAGACATGAATAGACATGTTTCCGAAGAAGACATCCAGATGGCCAATGGACACATGAAGAGATGCCCAACATCACTCACCATCAGGGAAATACAAATAAAAAGCACATTGAGATACCACCTCACACCTGTCAGAATGCCTAGTATTGAAAAGACAAGAAACAATGGGTGTTGGCGAAGATGCAGAGAAAGAGGAGCCCTCTTGCACTGTTGGTGGGAATGCAAACTGGTGCAGCCCCTCTGGAGAACAGCGTGGAGGTTCTTAAAAAAATAAAAATAGAAATACCTTATGATCCAATAATTGCACTACTAGGCATTTACCCCAAGGATACAAAACACTAATTCAAAGGAATCCATGCACCCCTATGTTTACAGCAGCATTATCGACAACAGCCAAGATATGAAAGCAGCCCAAGTGTCCATCAATAGATGTATAAAGAAGATGTGGTGTGTGTGTGTGTGTGTATAAAATATAATATTATTCAGCCATAATAAAGGAATGAAGTCTTGCCATTTGCAAAGAGATGGATGGAGCTAGAGTATTTTGCTAAGTGAAATAAGTCGGTCAAAGAAAGACAAATACCATACAGTTCTACTCATATGTGGAATTTAAGAAAACAAAAAAAAAATAGAGAAAAAGAGAGAGACAAAGCAAGAAACAGACTCTTAACTCTAGAGAACAAATTGATGGTCACCAGAGGGGAGGTGGGGGGATGGGTGAAATAGGTGATGGGGATTAAGAAGTGCACCTGTGGGGATGAGCACTGACTGAGGCATGGAAGTCTTGAATCACTAAATTGTACACCTGAAACTAATATAACAGTGTACGTCAACTGACTAGAATTAAAATAAAAACTTAAAGAAGTGAAAAAAAGAACTGAACAGGTCTGGGGGTGCCTGGGTGGCTCAGTCGGTTCAGGGTCCGACTTCGGCTCAAGTCATGATCTTGTGGTTCGTGGGTTTGAGCGTGCATGGGGCTCTGTGCCGACATCTCAGAGCCTGGAGCCTGCTTCAGATTCTGTGTGTCCCTCTCTCTCTGCCCCTCCACCCCTCATGTTCTGTCTCTCTAAAATAAACAAACATTAAAAGTTTTTATAAAAAAGAAATAAACAGGTCTGTCCACTATTACATAGAATAGATATTATTAAATGTTTACAATAAATAACTGGAAATCTATGAAGAAGAAAAAAATACCAAATGCTTAAAAAAATAGAGATATCAAAACCAGAGTGGTAGGCTACAGTTGATAATCCAGTTGACTTGAGAATTTCAGGCTTACAGATATACCAAAGGACTGCCCACTGAAGTTTTAGCTCACGTATGGTATAGAGAGATGTGGTATCCAAATAATGCTGCAATAAACATAGGAGTACATATATCTTTTCGAATTAGTGTTTTCATTTTCTTTGGGCACTCAATAGTGGAATTATTAGATTATATGGTATTTCAATTATACATTTTTTGAGGAACGTCTATTCTGTTTTCCACAGTGGCTGTACCAATGTACATTCCTAACAGTATATGCGGGTTCCTTTTTCTCCACATCCTCTCCAGTACTTGTTATTTCTCATCTCTTTGATTTTAGCCCTTCTAACTAAGTTATAAGGTGATTTTGCATTGTGGTTTTGATTTGCATTTTCCTGATGGTTAGTGATGTTGAGCATCTTTTCATGTGTCTGTTGGCCATCTGGATGTCCATTCTTTGAAAAAATGTCTACTCAGGTTCTCTGCCCATCTTTTAATTGTATTATTTATATTTTTGGTGCTGAGTTGTAGAAGTTCTTTATATGTTTTGGATATTAACCACTTATTGGATATATCATCTGCAAATATCTTGTCCCATTCAGTCGGTTGTCTGTTTGTTTTCTTGATGGTTTCCTTTGATGTTCAGAAACTTTATATTTTGATGTAGTTCCAACAGTTTTTGTTTTGCTTTTGTTTCCCTTGTCTGAGGCTCAATAAAAAAAAAAAAAAACACAGGAAACAGTAAGTATTGGCGAGGATGTGGAGAAAAAGGAACTGTCATGCACTGTTGGTGGGAATGCAAAGTGGCATAGGTACTGTAGAAGACAGTATGGAAATTCCTCAAAAACTTAAAAATGGAATTACCATATGATCCAGCCATTCCACTATTGGGTATTTACCCGAAGAAAATGAAAACACTAATTGGAAGATATATGCACCCCTGTGTTTATTGCAGCATTATTTACAATAGTTAAGATATGGATGCAACCCAAGTGTCCATCAACAGATGAATGGATAAAGAAGATGTGGTATACACACACACATACACACACAAACACACACAATGAAATATTATCACTCAGCCATAAAAAGGAATGAAATCTTGCCATGTGCAAAGACATGGATGGAGCTACAAAGTATATAGCATTAAGTGAAAAAGTCATTCAGAGAATGACAAATACCATATGATTTCACTCATATGTGGAATCAAAGAAACAAAACAAAAGAGCAAAGTGAAAGAGGGAGAGGGAGAGAGAGAGAGAAAGAGCAACCAAGAAACAGACTCAACTACGGAGAACACATTGAGGGTCACCAGAGGGGAGGCGGGTGGGGGATGGGTGAGCTAGGCGACGGGGATGAAGGAGAGCACTTGTGGTGATGAGCACCGGGTGTTGTATGGAAGTGTTGAATCACTATGTAGTACACCTGAAACTAAGATTACGCTCTTAACTCTACTGGAATTACAATTTAAAAATAACGTAAAACTAAAATTAAATTGAGACACGTTGAGACACCTCTTTTCACCTACGAGATTGGCAGGATTTTTAAAAACTGTCCATGTCTAGATATCAATAATGTGGGGAATAACAGCTTCATATATGAGCAGTAGGACTGTGAATTGTAACTTTATTTGGGGGCAAAGGTCTGGCTAGCTATTAAAACTAAAAATATGTATAGTGTGACTCAGAAATTCCAGTTTGAGGTCAGTGAACTTCAAGATAGGTCAATGGAAACTACCCAACCTACAGATGAGAGGGAGAAAGAAAAAAACTATGATGAAAACATTAAGGCGTGTGGGACAATACCAAGAGGTCGAACAGTCTTGTAATTAGAGACCCAGGAAAGGGGATAGAGAATAGGGTAGAAAATTTATTAGGGAAGAAATAATGACCACAATCTTTCTGAATTTGTAAAAACAAACTTACAGATCTCGGAAGATCAGTAAACCCCAAGTAGGATACATACGAAGAGAATCACAGCCAGAGAAAAATAACATCCAGGGGAAGAATAATTCAATGGAATCGAAACTCAGCTATCACAAAGGCCAGAAGATTGTCAAATAATATTTGGAAAGGGCTAAAAGGAAAAAAAAAAAAACCCTTCAAACCTCTGGGTTCCTTGTCCAGCAAAATTTGTCTTCAAAAGTGAAGACAGAATAAAGATATTTTCAAATAAAATAAAATGAAGAGAATCTATTTCCAGCATACTTGCACCATAAAGAATGCTAAAGAAAGTTTTTTCTTCTTTTTAAAAATATTTTTATTTATTTCTAGGAGAGAGAGAGAGAGAGAGAGAGACAGCGTGAGCAGGGGAGGGTCAGAGAGAGAGGGAGATACAGACTCTGAAATAGGCTCCAGGCTCTGAGCTGACAGTCAGCACAGAGCCCGACGCGGGGCTTGAACCCACGAACCACGAGATCATGACCTAAGCGAAAGTCGGACGCTTAACCGACTAAGCCACCCAGGCGCCCCTAAAGAAAGTTCTTCAGATTGAAGACAAGTGATCTGAATGAAAGTGATGCCTGACGGAAGTCTGGATCTTTAGGTGTAAAAAGCCTTGGTAATAGTAAATAACTGGGTAAATACAAAGGAATATTTCTCCTCATAATTTTCTAAAACTACATATGGGTGTTTAAAACAAAAAAATATAGCATTTTCTTATGTGTACTGGAAAGTCTATGGATGTGATCTGTGTGGAAATTATAGCATCCAGGAGAGTGGGGTGACAGATGTGTCTGCATCATACATGTCAGTGCTACTGAGGCTGCGACCTCATCTGTACCTACAGGTAAGCGAACTTAGACTACTGAGGTGACACTTACCTTTAGGCAGTCTCCCTGAGTGCAAAGGACTGACGTCAGTGATTCCATGAGGGTAGATATTATATGGTCGGCTTGCTTGATTTTTAAATATAATCTGCAAGTAAAAGTGAAATAGAAGACCAAGTCCTAAAATGGCAGATTCAACCAGTGTGGCCCATCTCCAGAAGACGAAAGCTGCCTTCTGCCCATATTGTAGAGGTTTGAGCCCAGAAAAGCTCAAAATATTTTTCTTTCTATATAACTGCTCAGATAGTTTTTCACTAAAGGCCCTTTTCCATCTCTTTAAAGTTCTTTGAATTGCTCAGGAAGTCTTCTTTGCACCGTCTCAAACTAATTGAAATTTGAATGTCTGCTGAGGACACCCCCGTCCTCTCAGCCTTTTCCCACCACTTGGGCACTAAGTTCCCCAACAGTGGAGAGGAAAACAGTGCCTCCGGGGATAAAATCTTCACTGACCGTGCAGGGATGAGGAGGAGGCCAGCTGAGTACAGCACCATCTGATGGCATGGGCTTTACGAGGGAGAAAGGATGGAAGAGCAGTAATGTGGAAGCAGCAGTTAAGACAGTGAAGACAGCGACCGGGTCTCCAGATCTGAGGTTGGGTATGAAATGAGGATTAAAAAAAAAAAAAAAAAACACAAAAAACAAAAACCTTTCCACCTGCATTCTTGTCTTAAAACCTACTCATTTGGTAAAACCCATTAAATGGCCTATTCCTTGTCTACACTTGAGCAGCAGAATGATGTAGAAGAAAAATCACACAGTTCTGCAACCAGCCTTTTAAAATTTATGATCACAAATCTCAAATGAGCACTCAAACTGCGTAGCTAGCCTATTGACGGGGGAGCGTGGGGCAAGCTGAGGGCAAAGTACAGGCTACCAGCACCCCCAACCCAGGTGTCCCCGTATTCCTTTGACATCGTTCCATCCTTTTATTTCTTTGAGTACTTTCTTACTATATTATGACTTCATACTGATGTCTCCAACTCGAATCCAGTATCACATGATTTATTCACTTTTGAGAAATCTTGCTCCCACCAAGTGTCATCTATTTACTTAATCTTCACATAATACATTTTCTTTCTTTCCAATCTGAAAATTTTATTTTTTTATCCTACGAACCTTGGCTAGGTCTTCTAGTAAAATGTCACATAGAGAGAGTCTATTTGTAAAAATAGTTTTGTAAAAAACATAGGGTTTCTAGTAAAAAGTCAAATAGTGTTTTATCCTGATCTTTAACAGAAGGATTTCTGAGTTTCACCACCAGGTATGATGGTGACTGTAGGTTTTCTTTAGATCTGTATTAATCTGTCATCTGCAAATAAAGACAGTATTAGTTCTTCCTTTCTAATGCAAATGCCTCTAATTCCTGTTTTTGTGTTTTGGTTGTTGGATTGTTTTTGGTTTGTTTTCTGGCTTACTGCATTGGCTTCCAATACAATATGAAATAGAAGTGACAAGAGTAGACTCTTATTTTTTTCCCAATCTCAGGGGGAAAACAATCTTCCACCATATAACAAATTTTCTTCGATGTTCTTCATCAAGTTAAGAACCTTGCCTTCTGTTGCTAGTTCACTGACAGCTTTTCTTTTCATTATGAATGGATAGGGGATTTGTCAAACTGGTTTTTTTTCCCACCTACTATATGATCATGGGCTTTTTGTTCTTTATTCAGTTACTAAGGTGTATTACCTTAATATTCATATGTTGAACCAACATTGCATTCCGGGGATAAATCTAACTTGACCATGGTATATACCTTTTAAAATGTTGCTAGATTTGGTAAACTAATGTGTTGTGGAAGATTTTTGCATCTATTTTCCCGAAGGACATTGGATTATAGTTTTCTTTAAAATTTTAAGACTTGCTCTGTGGCATAATGTATGATCTATCCTGGAGAATGTTTCAGGTGCACTTGAGAAGAATGTATATTCTACTGGAGCTGGGTGGACTGTTCTACGGATGTCCGTTAGGCCTAGCTGGTTTATAAATAAAAGATTAGCTGTTTGTCAATAACTGATGAAGCTGAGTGATGGGTTCAAAGAAGTTTATTTTACTATTCTACCTCTAGGCATGTTTGAAATTTTTCGCATGAAAAGCAAAAAATAATCCTCAGATTCTTACATTAATAGAACAACTTAATAGGATTCAGCAAGCTGTCCAGAGCATAACTTATATAAATCAAAAAATGAGGTTGATATGAAATGATATTCAAGATATACTATTAAATAAAAAAATCAAGGTACAGAACCATTATATAGCACTCTTGTTTCTGTTTAAAATATAAACATAAACACTTATCTATTTATACACTATCTCTGGAAGGGAATATTAAAACTGACAGTAATGATTGCCTATCAGATGATGGGATTAGAAGTCTGGGAGAGAGGAAAATTTGCCCTTCATTGTATCCATTTTTGCCTTTTGAATTATTTTTACTGGATACTTAAAAATAGGTAAATAAAGCTTATGAAGAAAAATTGTATGAGAATAGCTAATTAAAATGTTGAAGAAGTTCAATGAAAGAAGACTTGCTGTATAAGTATCAAAACACAGGACAAGGTGGCGGTCATCAAAACAGTATGGTAACAGGTCAATGAAAGAAAACAGATTTTAGCAATTTAGTATATGATAAAGAAGGCATTTTTAGATTACTGAAGAAAGGATTGATTGGGACAATTAGCTGTCATTTAGGGAAATCCTTACTTGATACCATGCACTACATCCAAGAGCAACTTCCAGAGCAATTAAAATCCTTATTGTAAAAATAAAACTATATTGCACATATAGGAGGATTAGGAGGAACTTAACGGAGGAACAAGGGGGAGAAGAAGGGGAAAAATAGTTGGGGAGAGGGAGGGAGGCAAACCATGAGAGACTCTTGAATGCTGAGAACAAACCGAGGGCTGTTGGGGGTGGGGGGGAGGGGAAGGGGGTGATGGGCATGGAGGTGGGCACTTGTGGGGATGAGCATTGGGTGTTATATGGAAACCAACTTGACAATAAACTATAATAGAAAAAAACAATAAAAGTAAGAGAATAAAATAGACTATATAATTTCTTGAGGGTGATGAAGCCATTCCAAGGCAGAAAACATAAATGAAAAATACCCAGAAAAATAGAAATAAAAACATTGATAAAAGATCTTGACTGTATAAAGGCTAAAAATCTTTGTAGGACAAAGGTACAAGTGGCAGACTGAGAAAACTATTTGAAAATAACAACACGCCAATATCCACAATGCATACAGCCTTTTACAAATATGTAAGCAATTCCTAATGGAAAACTGGACAAACTTTTAGGCAATTCACAGAGGGTGTCACATAAATAGTCAAGGAACATGAAACAATATGCCATTTCACTACTAACCAGGGAAATGGAACGGAATCTGAAGGCTTATAATCTATCCTGTCGACAGTGTGGGGGAAGGGTACCCGTACACTCTTGGTAAGGTTCTAAATTGGTACAGAACCGCCCAAGGCAGTCTGGCAATATCTAACAAAACTCCACATTGGGAAGGTCGGTCTCGTGAGCACAGTCTTTGGACCCCCACTCGGCCACGTAAGAATGGGCCTTGGGCCTGGGACACCTCCTTACCAGGAGATAAAGAGCCCACGTAGCCTCCGGCAGGCTTGTCACCCTGTGTGGGAGTGTCCTCTGCTGTGTCAGTCTCAGTGGGTGCTCCTTTGTGCTGCTTTCCATATTTCAGGCGCTGTGGGGAGGAGCTGGGACCCTTCTGCCACAGCACAGGAGGGGTGCACACGGGCCAAGCTCGCTATGCTAGCTGCGTGCACGCTATTGGGAGCCGGCCTTGCCGTCTCTTCTCTTTGTGAACAGAAACATCATTCCACCCCGTGCTCCACTGCCTCATGTTTTCTTGGTGACTCCAACACCGGGACGCTGTGGGCAGAAGTGCTTGCGCTCTGTTCCTAGTGCTTCCCTAGTGCAGTTTGAGTCTTCCTCTGACACTGGGAATGAGTATGTGGTGTTCTGCTCAACGTTCCATATAGACTGATCAGCATCCTTCATGACATTTTTAAAAAAAGTTTTGTTTTAATGTTTATTTCATTTAGAGAGAGAGAGACAGAGCCTGAGCAGGGGAGGGGCAGAGAGAGAGAGAGAGAGAGAGAGAGAGAGAGAGAGGGAGACACAGAATCAGAAGCAGGCTCCAGGTTCTGAGCTGTCAGCACAGAGCCCAATGTGGGGCTCGAACTCATGGGCCTTTGAGCTGTGAGATCATACCTGAGCTGAAGTGAGCCGCTCAACTGACTGAGCCACCTAGGTGCCCCCATGACATTTTTGAGCCACTTAGTTGACACAAGCAACCATAAAAACCCTATGTTTTTAAACCACTGCTTATTGAATATTCCCTTCTTTGCAGCATAGGCATTCTTAATACTCTATATCTAGGGTCAGCAAACATTTTCTGGAATGTGCCAGACAGTAAATGCTCTAGGCTTTATGAGCCATATCTAGTCTATGTTACATGTTTGTCTTATTATCATTCTTTTCTTTACAACTTTTTAAAAAGGGAAAACCTTGCTAAGTTCTTAGGCTGTCCAAAACCACTATGAACCAAATTTGGCTCACAGTCTGCTGATCCCTGTGCTATATAATTAGTGGAAAAATTTATATAAGGATGTAAATCAAAGACTACATAATGAGTATTTCAAAGGGGTGACAGGTTTAATGGGTGGCCTTAAATTTGTATTCTATATACCCATATTTTCTTTTCAAACGTCTTTATTTTTTTAAAGCTTATTTATTTTGAGAGAGAGAGAGAGAGAGAAAAGGAACGAGCACATGAGTCAGAGAGGGGCAGAGACAGAGGGAGAGAGCCTGATGTGAGGGTCAGTCCCATGAACTGTGAGCTCATGACCTGAGATGAAATAGAGAGTTAGACACTTAACTGACTGGGCCACCCGGGCACCCCTATATGCTCATATTTTTTAAACTTAGAATCCACATTTATCTGTATAACATTTATAATTTTTGGAAGATCATATCCATTGGAGACACAGCTGAATTATGAAGCTTTTAGATACTCAACCTTCTCCAGACTTTGTTTTCTGACCCAACCTTATGTCCCCTCCTCCACTTACCAACAGTGTGTCTCCAACTTCTCCATAAAGTAAAGGTCCCAGGATTCCTGATTCATACTGAACAACTTTACGAGTCTTAAAGGTTTCATCTGTGTATGCCATAAATCGGACTTTTTTGTACTTCCTACCAATCCGCTGAGGACCATTGTTCAAATACAGATGTTTATAACTTCTGCATGAGACACAAATAGATGAGAGGTTGGGATGCAGAATTCCACGTAGAGACAGGTGGCTAAAATCCAGCATTAAAACACCGGTATGATTTAATCGAGGGAAGGAGGGAGAAAAACACAAGTATCCCTGATGCTTAGCTATGTGAATAAGGCTATATGATTTGATTCCATACCTGTACTTAACACCGACCATGGCTTGAGGGTTTGCTGTTTTGAATAATTGGGATGCACTTTTGAAAATGAGGAAGAGTTCATACCAAAAGTCAAAGGTGCTTACGTCTCGCTGGAGGTGGGGGCCGATGGGGCATAGTCCCAGTCCTCCTCTTCAGCGGCAATATAGTGGATCCAAGTTTTAGGATGCTTCTTGGCAACTGAGCGGATTTGAAGAAAGGGAGAAGAGCTGTCGCCATCAAACCTAATCATGTCCATGTCAGAATCATAATGATCATCATCATAATCTTCCTCTTCGTTATTTTTCATCCGTAGCTGGGGTTCCTCTGGGCAGCTATCTACTTTGACATAAGCTTCCATTCCAGCTGGAGCCAGACAAAACAAACAATGTCAGATTCCTACAAGACTCTGGCTTTCAAGACCCTCTCCTAAGTGTTCCCTTCTCCACACCAATACCCTTCCTTGCCACTCTCCTACAGGGATTACCGCCCCCTTAGCTGTTACTTGCTGCTTTCTTCCTAGACGATCTTTGCGCTCACTGTTTCCCTTTGGGCTGACTCTCCTCCAATCTACGTTTTATTCCTTTTTCAAGACTCACTCATTTGCTCTCATACTATATATGAGTATTTCCCTCGTGGAACTGGCTGAGACTATCACTCCCCAACTCTCAAATGATAAACAAGCAGGCTTGACAAACTGCATATTTTCAGCATCTGGATGCCTAGGTCAGACCAACTCCCCACTCCTCCAGACACCCATGGTTTCTTTAAAAAAAATTTTTTTAGGGGCGCCTGGGTGGCTTAGTCGGTTAAGCGTCCGACTTTCGCTGAGGTCATGATCTCGCGGTTCGTGGGTTCGAGCCCCGCGTCGGGCTCTGTGCTGACTGCCAGCTCAGAGCCTGGAGCCTGTTTCAGTCTGTGACTCCCTGTCTCTCTGACCCTCCCCTGCTCACGCTGTCTCTCTCTCTCTCTCTCCCCCCTAGAAATAAAAAAAAACATTAAAAAAAATTAAAAAAATTTTTTTAACATTTATTCATTTTTGAGAGACAGAGAGCACAAGTTGGGGAGGGTTAGAGAGAGAGACACACACACACAGACTCCAAAGCAGGCTCCAGGCTCTGAGCTGTCAGCACAGAGCCCAATGCAGGGCTCAAACTCACGAACTACGAGATCATGACCTCAGCTGAAGTCGGACGCTTAAACCAACTCAGCCCCTCAGGTGCCCCTACCTATGATTTCTAGATGTACTCCACTGAATAATGATACAAACCACCGATTTAATATGTTTATCAGGGAAAATGTCAGTGTAGATATAAATTTCAAGACACATTCTGAGTTCATAAAAACATGAAAAGGTACAACTTAGAGGGAAGGAAATATGTTATATATTTTAAGACCAAGTCTGCCTGTGACTAGCTGTGAGCCCTACAGCAATCTCATGTTCGGCTCTACAAAATGTGGATGATAATAATTCCTATCCAGTTTATAAGGGTTCCAGAGCGGTGAACAACTAGTCTTTAAACTAGTTAATGTGGCTTGAAACATTTATTCTAGGTCTAAAAATGAAAAGTTTTATCTGCGGTCCAACAAGACAAAGCATTTTTCTGAAAAATATGGATTAAAATCAGCAGAAAGAAGTCAAAATAATAAAACAAAACATAAACCCCTCAAACTAGATAGTGACCAACCTGAATGCAAATAAATGGCCTGTTCCTGCTATGTGCCCAGTACGATATCCTTTGTCCCCTAATATCTTATGAAAAGTCCCCTAAACATGATGTAACGGATGAGGAAAAGGGGTCCCTATTCGTCATAATAAACAAGGCCGCTCGCTGAACAGAAGGGGAAAATAGTGGACACGTGGCAAGATCCGATCTCTTCTCCAAGGCAAAGGAAGAATCTGAAGAGAGTGTTAACACAGAGTGATAGGAGCAAAGGAGTGCCGAGTGCTGAGTGCTGTCGGACGTGTAAGGCGAGGCCTCCTCCACATGCTTCGCCAACAGCCCTCAGTGGCCACAAGAGGGCACCAGGCAAGGAGGGATGTTACCTTGATGCGCGTTTAGGAGTTAGCGGAGTAAGTACACAGGATGGCAGATTGTTGTTGTTGTTGATGTGACCTCATTTGTAGCTACAGCCTGTGAAAAGTCATATAACGTGATTGTCCCACCCCCATCTGCCATCCTGTGTACTTACTCCGCTAACTCCTAAAACGTCTCTTCAGCTCGGACCTGCAATCTCTTTCTCTCCGTAGTATTGAAGCCTAGTTAGTGGGATCAGGCTGGGAAACGAATGACATACTGTTCTCCTCACTTTCCCCATGGCAATCATCCCTAAAACATCTCCCTCCCTCTGCTAGAGCCATTAGGACTACAAATTCACCAGTACTACCGACACTGAAGCCCTCTTACGTTCAAGGTGAAATCTTCACCCTGAAAACTGGCAGCTAGGGAATCTCGGTTGAGTTCTAACATAATATTATACAGGACAGTGGACAGTAAAAGAAGAGCTGAATATGTTTAACACTCATTTTTAAGATCAACAGATATTACCATGCTGGTGGGAAGAGATGTGACAAAACAGTAGAAACTGGCCAAGGTCCATGAAAAATGTCTGAGCAGTAAGGAAACTTATCGATGAGATCTCCAAGGAGGCCTGGCGATGGTTTCTCACGAGAAATGTGTGACCTTCAAGAAAAATCGAGTGCACTTTCGGGGTGGTGCCCATTCCAATCACATGCCAATAGACTGATTTCTTGTGGCATCCAGTCAGGCCTATAAAGTAGGAATAAGATGGTTATGGTCAGCAAGGAGAGAATTTGAAATGGAAAACACTGTCTAGGATAGGATGGACAAAGTGACCTTCAAATCTTACTACCGAGTTGGATTGAAACTTTCCAAGGATGTTGGGGTACTGCCGAACCAACAGCTCTTACTAAATCCAACAGACCGTTTTCAGTCACCTGTACCTGTTGACCATTCTGTATTGAAATTCTCTTCCTCCCTCGATCTCTGTGCCAACACCTTTCTGGGCTTTGTTCCCTTGTTCAGATAGCTCCTTCTGTGACCTTTCCTGACCCCTCAGTAAATGACAGATCACCTAGGACTCATCCCCAGCCCTTATTCTCTTACTGATCAATATTTTTTCCTTGAATGATATCAACATTATTCTTCTCACCATTCTCACTTCTCACATCCAAGCTGATACCAATTATGACGATGTAATTAATAATAGTAATATCTACTGAGCACTTGTTTTATATCAAGCACTGTCCAAAGTAGCTTACAAGTTTTAGCTCATTCGCTCCCTCCAGCAACCACATGACTGTAGAAACTATTGTTATCAGGACAGGAAAACGATGCCCGGAGAGGTTAATCACCTTGCTCAGATCGGAACCCAAGCAGCTGTGTGCTTAGACCTCACACTGTTAACTACTAGGGCACAGTTTTCTCCTATTTTGGCTCCTGAAGCTTTCAAATATATATACTTTTCACCATCATTACTACCCCCACCATCTTAATCCAAGCTAGCTACCATTTTCTCTTGTCTCTGTGTCACATCCAAACTCTAGGAAGGCCTAGCTGAATGGTATTGCCAATTGAAGTTTCCTGCCTTTGTATGTGACCTGTTTCTCCCGAGGGAAGCTTAAACATCTTCTCTTTGTTCTCTGAAATTCTACAATCATAATTTTTGTGGGGGTTTTTTTAAATTTATGCTACGGGGAAATTTTATTTTATTTTATTTTTTGGTGTTGAGGTTTTTTTCTTAAATAGTTTATTGTCAAGTTGGTTTCCATATAACACCCAGTGCTCATCCCCACAAGTGCCCTCCTCCATGCCCATCACCCCCCTTCCCCCCCACCCCCATCTGCCCTCAGTTTGTTTTCGGCATTCAAGAGTCTCTCATGGTTTGCCTCTCTCCCTCTCCCCCACTATTTTCCCCCTTCTTCTCACCCACGGTCCTCCGTTAAGTTCCTCCTAATCCTCCTATACGTGCAAACATCTGATATTTGTCTTTCTCTGCCTGACTTATTTCGCTCAGCATAACACCCTCAAGTTCCATCCATGTTGCTACACATGGCCAGATGTTATTCCTCCTCATTGTCATGTAGTATTCCATTCTATAGATAAACCACATCTTCTTGATCCATTCGTCAGTTGATGGACACTTAGGCTCTTTCCGTGTTTTGGCTATTGTTGAGAGTGCTGCTATGAACATTGGGGTATGTGTGCCCCCTATGCATCAGCACTCCTGGATCCCTTGGGTAAATTCCTAGCAGTGCTATTGCTGGGTCATAGGGGAGTTCTATTGTTAATTCTTTGAGGAACCTCCACACTGTTTTCCAGAGGGGCTGCACCAGTTTGCATTCCCACCAACAGTGTAGGAGGGTGCCCGTTTCTCCACATCCTCGCCAGCTTCTAGACTCCTCTGATTTGTTCATTTTAGCCACTCTGACCGGCGTGAGGTGGTACTCAGTGTGGTTTTGATTTGTGTTTCCCTGATGAGGAGGGACGCTGAGCATCGTTTCATGTGTCTGTTGGCCATCTGGATGTCCTCTTTGGAGAAGTATCTGTTCATGTCTTCTGCCCATTTCTTCACTAGATTATTCATTTTTCGGGTGTGGAGTTTGGTGAGTTCCTTATAGATTTTGGATACTAGCCCTTTATCTGATATGTCATTTGCAACTATCTTTTCCCATTCTGTCGGTTGCCTATTAGTTTTATGGATTGTTTCCTTGCCGTGCAGAAGCTTTTGATCTTGATGAGGTCCAGTAGTTCATTTTTGCTCTTGATTCCCTTGCCTTTGTGGATGTGTCAAGTAAGAAATGGCTGCGGTTGAGGTCAAGGAGGTTGTTTCCTGCTTTCTCCTCTAGGGTTTTGATGGTTTCCTGTCTCACGTTCAGATCCTTGATCCATTTTGAGTTTAGTTTTGTGTATGGTGTGAGAAAGCGATCTAGTTTCATTCTTCTGCACGTTGCTGTCCAGATCTCCCAGCACCATCTGTTAAAGAGGCTGTCTTTTTTCCATTGGATACTCTTTCCCGCTTTGTCAAAGATTAGCTGGCCGTACATTTGTGGATCCAATTCTGAGTTCTCTATTCTATTCCATTGGTCTATGTGTCTGTTTTTGTGCCAGCTACTGGGAAATTTTAATATGAAGACTCAAATATTTTCATCTATCATTTCTTGGATTTTTAAAATCTGGTTTAAAAAATCTCTTTTTGTTTTCATTTCTGGGAGATTTTCTCTATTCTAACTACCATCTATTGAGTTTGTATTGTGTATATTCCTAATTTTTGTGAGCATACTCTTATTTGATGATTTCTTTTTCATAAAATCCCATTATTACTTTATTGATGCAATATCTTTTTTAATCTTTATGAAAATACTAAGTAGACCTTTTGACAAATTTTGTTCTGTTCTAAGGATGATCTCTTTTCCTTCTGGGACTATTATTTTGTTTACCTCTGCATATCCCTTTCACATTTCAGGCTTTCCTGAAATATTTGTTCATCCTTGGTCCCCTCTACATTTAAACAAAAGGAAAGAGAAATCTGTGAGCTATGTGTACATGGGCAGACCTTCATTTTGAGGTGGCTGGAAAAAGAATCAGCCACTTCAGTGTAAGACCCCACCAGGGGCCAGAATTCAGTGAGCTTTCCTCTGGGGGTATGGAGCTGTCGAAGGGGAGCCAGAGGAGAGAGCTGTGGTGGTGAGTACGGAAGACCCTGAGGATTCTCGAGCACGGATGTACATACCTGGCAGAGACCTGTTTACATAGCCATTGACCGTGTGCACTTCATGCCGGGCCTGAGCAGATGCAGGACCCAGAGCCTGTGCCGAGGACTCATTTGCCTCTGAATGCCAGCTTTTCCCTGAGGAGACAGGAGGCAAATACAAGTCCAGCTCAGTGTCTGTATCAGGGACCATCTGTCTCATGAACGTCCCTTTCTCCTTCCCTCCCCCGCATGGGGCAAGGCCTGCTCACACCTTAAGTATTTCTGTCAGCACAGTGGACCATCAGTAAGAAAAAGGAGAAGACAATTACTAAAAGACATTTCTTGCTCAATTGATTGTCTCTCCCTATGTTTGTCCCTGAGAGTAGATGGGGAGGGATGACACACGTATTAACTAAGAGAAGGGAGATATCGGTTACTTTGTGCCGTGAGGATTTCACTCTATTCATTCACTGATGTGTTTGAAAGGGAGTAAATGGGGGCGCCTGGGGGGCTCAGTTGGTTAAGCTCTGGCTTCGGCTCAGGTCATGATCTCATGGTTCGTGGGTTTGAGCCCCGCGTCGGGCTCTGTGCTGACAGCTCAGAGCCTGGAGCCTGCTTCGGATTCTGTGCCTCCCCCACTCTGTGCCCCTCCCCTGCTTGTGCTCTCTTTTTCTCTCAAAAATAAACATTAAAAATTTAAAAAAAGAAGATGAAAATCGTCTTAGAAAAGGGCTCTCAGTCCCTGTCCTTGTCCTAATTGCTTCATTCAGATTGTATAATGAAAGCCCAAGAACCTGAAAGCTTCCCCACCCCCCCTCGGAAATTAATAAGAGTGACAGCACTGGAAACATTACCAGGGGGCAGCCATCTCCCTGAAGTTGCCCCTTCATGTGAAGGACTAGCAGCTAATACTGAAACTTTCTGAAGCACTTTTGGGGGAAGTCTCATAAGTTCATGTATCTGTTCATCTACTAATTTCTTCATTCATCCAAGCATATTTACTGAGTACTTCTGAGTGCCAGGCACTGAGGACAGAGAAGACAGTCACTGCCTTGAAGGTGCTTACAATTTCACCTAACCACAGAAGGTGCCACTACAAGGAAGAGTAATGTCATAGAGATGAGAACAGGCTATTACAAAAGCAGAGAGAAGAAATTTCACATTATTTGAAGGAAAAGGGATATATAAAATCAAAGAAGTAGGCAATGATGAATTAGTGTGATAAGGAGGAAACTTCTTTGACTTTCTAGTGGTGTTTTCAAGATGATTATTTTATTGTTTTTTTTTAGAAAGGTTCTGAAACATTATTTGAAATAGCTAATATAAATACATAGTTGTATTTGCTCTGTTTATTGTAATGTATACTAAATTAATGCAGAATCATATAGAAAATTTCTCTGAAACCTAGTCACAAATTTGCTTTCTTATTCTTCTTTTTATCTATGTAATATTGTGCTTTAAAACATTTTTTTAGCATACGTGACATTTTATTTGCTTGATAAAGAGATCTCGATTTTATTGACAAGAATTGTCACTAAGCAATTCCCAATAGAAAGCTGGTGCTTTTTATTAATGCAAAATCATCAGGGTTTGTATACCGAAAGTTTCCTCCAGGACCTAGTAAGCCTTCCTGTTCAACTGCATTTGTAAATAAACTTGCCGATGCATTAAAAGCAATGCCAACAACAACAACAAAACACAACTGTGAAGGGGCGCCCGGGTGGCTTGTTGGTTAAGCATCCGACTTTGGCTCAGGTCATGATCTCATGGTCCCTGGGTTCAAGCCCCGTGTCAGGCTGTGTGTTGACAGCTCGAAGTCTGGAGCCTGCTTCGGATTCTGTGTCTCCCTCTCTCTCTAACTCTCCCCTGCTCATTCTCTGTCTCTCTCTGTCTCTCACAATAAATAAACATTTTAAAAAGACCTGTGGAAACATATAAAGAGGCATCTAACCCAGACTGGAGGGAAAAGGAACATCTTCCCTTGGTGTGAAGGGGCAGACAGGTTTTCTAGGCAGAGGACACAGCAGAAACAAGAGTCTGGATGCAAGAAAGCATGTGGCATGTTGCAGCACGATACAAAATGTGTTCAGTGTGGCCAGCACCCACACAGTGAGGCAGGAAGAGGGGCCCGGTCAGGCTAGACACGTCATCAGCAACAATGGAGTGTCAGGGGACAGGAGAAGGCAGAGGGACGAGTTAGTTCAGAAGAGGCATGTAGGAGGAGAAGATGGGAGTGGAGCTGATCATGTTGGTGGCGGCGGTGGTATCTTGGTTTTATTGGGAGGAGGAGGCAGCAGAAGCTCCAAGACTACCGAGGACCTACTCTGTGCCACACAATGTTCTTTTATTTTATTTTTTTTAATATTTTTATTTATTTCTAGGAGAGAGAGAGAGACAGCATGAACAGGGGAGGGTCAGAGAGAGAGGGAGTCACAGACTGAAACAGGCTCCAGGCTCTGAGCTGGCAGTCAGCACAGAGCCCGATGCGGGGCTCGAACCCACGAACCGCGAGATCATGACCTAAGCGAAAGTCGGACGCTTAACCGACTAAGCCACCCAGGCGCCCCTGTTCTTTTATTTTTTTAAAGTTTCAAATGTTTATTTATTTTTAAGAGACAGAGCGAGAGTGGGGGAGGGGCAGAGAGAGGGAGAGACACAGAACTGAAACAGGCTCCAGGCTCCCAGCTGTCAGCACAGAGCCCGATGCGGGGCTTGAACCCATGAACCGTGAGATCCTGACCTGAGCTGAAGTCAGACACTTAGCCGACTGAGCTCCCCAGGCGTCCCAGTTACTAAGTTACTTCATTGCTTAATCCTCACAACTGTCTTATGAAAAAAGTACTATTATTTCAATTTTAACCTTAAGGAAATTGAGACACAGAAAGGTTAAGTAAGTTGCCAAAAGTATTTAAAAGTAAGAAAGGAAGATAAGAGAAGGTATATTCCTAGAAGAGGATGGCCAATGCTGCTTTCCAGGAGCAGAGGGTGGGGAAAATGGGGAAATGCTGGCTAAAGGCTACAAAAAATTCAGCTTTAAGATGAGTATGTTCCGGAGACCTAATGTAGAGGCATGATCACCACATTGAGAATATGCTAAGAGAGTAGATGACAGGTGCACTCATCACACACACAAAATGGGAACTATGTGAGGAGATGGATGAGCTGATTACCTTGACTGTAGGAGTCATTTGATTATCTTTTGTGTATCAAATCATGTTGTACTCCTTAAATATGCATTTTTATGAACATTTCCTTTAAAAGACACATGACAAGATGCTTAAAATTACTAATCATCAAGGGGGCGCCTGGGTGGCTGAGTCGGTTAGGCGTCCAACTTTGGCTCAGGTCATGATCTCACAGTTTGTGGGTTCGAGCCCCATGTCAGGCTCTGTGCTGACAGCTCAGAGCCTGGAGCCTGCTGCGGATTCTGCGGCCCCCTCTCTCTCTGCCCCTCCCCCACTCATGCTCTGTCTCTCTCTCTCTCAAAAATAAACATGAAACATTTAAAAAAATTACTAATCATCGGGGAAATGCAAATGAAAACCACAATGATATCAAAAAGACAAGAAATAACAAGTGCTGGTGACGATGTAAAGACAAAGGAACCCTGTTACACTGTTGGTGGGAATACAAACTGGTGCTGCTGCTCTGGAAAACAGTGTGGAGCGTCCTCAACCAGTGAAAAATAGAGCTCCCCTAGGACCTAGTAATTCCACTTCTGGGTGTTCACTCAAAGAACACAAAAACACTAACTTGATGGGATACACGCACCCCTATGTTCTCCAGTGTGCGTTCGTAGGTGAATGGAGAAAGAAGATGTGGTGTGTACGTATATATGCGTATGCATATGTAAGTGTATGTGTGTATGTATATGTACACGCACACATAAACCTAAGTATATAAAACTTGGCCATAAAAAATTGAGATCTTGCTTTTATGCAGCAACATGGGTGGATCTAGAGAGGATTTTGCTTATGTTAAGTGAAATAAGTCAGACAAAGAGAAATACTCTGTGGCTTCACTTTTACGTAGAATCCAAAGAACAAAACAAAGCAGAAACAATCCACGGACACAGAGGACAGAGTGGTGGTTGAAAGAAGACGGTACGGGAATGGGCAAGTGGGTGAAGGATGATAAGAGATACAAACTTCCAGTTATGAAATAAGTGGGTCGCAGGGATGACAAGTGCAGCGTAGGGAATATAGCCGAGACCACTGCAATGCAACTCATCCTGGTGAGCATTTCCCAAAGGGTACAGGTGAGTCGCCATGCTGGGTACCTGAAACTAATTTATGCCAACCATACTTCAATTAAAGTTGTTTTAAAATTTAAAGTAAAGGGGCGCCTGGGTGGCTTAGTCGGTTAAGCGTCCGACTTTCGCTTAGGTCATGATCTCGCGGTTCGTGGGTTCGAGCCCCGCGTCGGCTCTGTGCTGACTGCCAGCTCTGAGCCTGGAGCCTGTTTCAGTCTGTGACTCCCTCTCTCTCTGACCCTCCCCTGCTCACGCTGTCTCTCTCTCTCTCTCCCTCTCTCCTAGAAGTAAATAAAATATTTAAAAAAAAATAATAAAATAAAATAAAATAAAATTTAAAGTAAAAAATTACTAAAATTTTCTAAAAAGGATAAGAAGAGGTATTTAAAAATAGAACTAAAAGTCTTTGTTGATGGATTTAATGAGGGGGAAGCGGCCAGCCTGTTACTCGACTCCTCCATCTTCTTCCCTGATAGCTCCTAATGGAACTCAGGTCGTATGTTTTCTTGAAATTCAGTTTCCTCCCCATCTCCTTCATTCCCGAACAGTAGCTTATGATCCTTCTGTAATCACTTCCTCTGGACAGTAGCAGCCTTTAGTCTCAAGTACCAGATTAAATTCATATAGGGGCACCCGGGTGGCTCACTCAGCTAAGCGTCCGACTTCGGCTCAGGTCATGATCTCACAGTCCGCGGATTTGAGCCCCGCATCGCGCTCTGTGCTGACAGCTAGCTCAGAGCCTGGAGCCTATTTCGGATTCTGTGTCTCCCTCTCTCTCTGCCCCTCCCCAGCTCGTGCTCTGCCTCTCTCTGTCTCAAAAATAAATAAACATTTAAACAAACAAAAAACAACAAATAGAGCACTTAAACATGTTTTAAAAAATAAATAAAACATTAAAAAATTTTTTAAAAGTAAACAAATATATGTGGTTTGTTTCAGGAGCCAAGGATTTAGATCATGGCTCACTCACCGTCATCAAATACTGCAAACAGGAGTACAAATTCATGCAAGGGCTGTGTCCTTCCTTCAGCCAGACTCCCTGAAAAAGAAGAGAGAACATTTATCTTCTATTACAAATCCAATAACAGGAAGTCACACTAAGAGGGGACATCACTTCATCTACTGCTTTGTCTCCGGTCTCCCGGTAACTTGACATAGTATTGCTTCTTGATGTCAGGCCTCCTGTACCGGTTCTTCTAAAACTACTTGGGGTAAAGCACTTTTTTTTTTTTTTTCATTTCAAATTTGTTGCAGACCAGTGCTTTTGTAAAACAGAAGAAAAATGAACTACTAAGAAAATGAAATTAAAGAGACGTACAAAATACAAGCCCATATAATATTTCATAAATATCCATGTATCCAGAACATAAAAGAGAAAAAGAAAAATTACAAAAACTATAAATGCTCTTCATAGACATTGTGCATAGAGGCAATTAATATAGTTAATTTCTGTTATGCCTTTTACTTTTTTTACGTATGCAATTGTAAATACACAAAGCATTATGACCAATGACAATTATCAATATTAAACACCTATAATCACACTTTAAATGAACACCATGTATATCAATATTTAAACTTGTTAATGTTACAAGTGAATTTGCTTGATGCTTTAATTATTGAATTTGTTGGTTGTCTTTGATAGCATTATATTTCTTCATTTGATTGGGCAGTTTTCTTTGCAGGTTTAAACAGGAAGATTTTTGTTTATGACATTTTCATTTTTCCTCATACCCTTGACACTTGAAAGTAAATCTTAGATTGGACAAAGAAAATAACTCACCTGTACAAAATTAAAATATAGGTAAAGCTGTCTAAAACATTTTAATTCTTTTTATTTTATTTTTAAAATTATCAAATAGTGAAATTGACGTTTACTTTTGGTGTTTAACACAGGTATAGATTCATGCAGCTACCAACCATCAGGACCCAGAATAGTCCCGGCCTCAAAACTCCCTCCTCCTGTCCCGTTATAGACACATATATAGTCATGTACAGAGACAGTCATATGTACGGTCATAGCCTTGGCAACCACTGATATGTTCTCCATTGCAATATATTTGTATTTTTGAGGTTGTCCTATAAGTGGAATCATGCACTGTATAACCTTTTGAGATTATCTTTATTACTCGAGGTAATGCCTTTGAGATGTATGCATGATATGGATGTACCACAGTGTGTTTAACCAGTCACTTGGTAAAGGACATTTAGTTCCTTGGCCATTCTTGGCCATTGCAAATAAAGGTGCTCTGAGCATCAATATATAGATTTATGTAAATGCTAAGTTTTTATTTCTCCAGAGTAAATACTCAGAAATGGAAATTAAATGTATATTTAACTTTATAAGAAACTGCCTATAATTATGATATCAGTCCCAGGGTGTATGGGTGTTTCCCTACCACCAAGCAATTCTGTAACACCAGCTGGGTATCTGGCAATTCACCTTAATTCTGATACTCGCCCCCTGGTGGTGGTGTAGATTCCCACAGGTTAAGGGCTCAGTTCTATGGGACTCCCCTGCACCCACACGTCAGATGTCAATTGAAAGTCCAAATCATCACCCTTGCCTCTGACCAACCTCTATAGATCAGGATTTCCAACAACACCCTTCTTGGGTTCCATTAATTTGCTAGAGGAGCTCACAGAACTCTAATAAGTAACATGCTACCTAAGATTGCCAGTTTATTAAAAAAGGTTGTAACTAAGAAACAACCAAAGGGAAGAGATGTGTGGGGCAAGGTATGGGGAAAGGATGCAGAGCTCCCATGCCCTCTCCAGGCATGCCACGCACCCCAAACCTCCTGGGGGTCACCACCCTGGCAGTTCTCTGAACTCTGTCCTTTGTGGTTTCTTATGGAGGCTTCATGACATGGGCGCAATTGATTAGCTCTTGGTGACTGAGCTCAGTACTCAGCCCCTTTCTCCTCTCTTGGGGGCGGGGGTGGGTCAGGGGGGGAGACTGAAAATTCCAGCCCTCTAGTCACTTGGTCCACTCTATTGGCAATCCGTTCGCATCCTTAGGTGTGTGGTCCAAAACTCACCTCACTAGCATAACAAAAGACATCTTTACTGCTCTCATCACAGGAAATCTCAAGGGTTTTAGAAGGTCTACCGGAAGGAGATGAAAGCCAAATACAGGTTTTATTTAAATCACAATATCACACTGCCAAACTGGTTTCCAGAGTGGCTATGTCATTGTGTATACCCGCCAACAATGTATGAGACTTCCTGTTGCTTTGCATTCTTGACAGCATAGTTAATTTTTAAAAAAATTTTGAAATGTTTTTATTTATTTCCGAGACAGAGAGAGAGAGAGAGAGAGAGAGAGAGACCGACCGCTTGAGCAGGGGAGGGTCAGAGAGAGAGGGAGACACAGAATCCGAAACAGGCTCCAGGCTCTGAGCTGGCTGTCAGCCCACGAACCGCGAGATCATGACCTGAGCTGAAATCAGACACCCAACCGACTGAGCCACCCCGGCGCCCCCAGCATAGTTAATTTTTAAATTATCACATTAGGTATTCTAATAGGTATGGAGCAGTATTTCATTATGGTTTTAATATGCATGTCCCTAATGACCAATGATATTGAGCATTCTTTCAAGTATTTATTTGCCACTTCCTTGATGAACTACCTACTCAAATCTTTTGCCCATTTAAAGAAGTGCTTTTTTTCTTATTGTTGAGATTTGAGAACACATTTTAGAAAGTAAAATGTTTTATGTACAATACATCTGTATACATATATAATACATATATAAAACATAAAAATATCTTGGCTGTTGTGAATAATATATATATGAGTCCTCTTCCAGATATAAGACTGGTAAATATTTCCTCCCAGTCTGTAGTTGGTCTCTTCATTCTCTTAACAGTGTTTTTAAATTAGAAAAGCAAAAGTTACCCATGTTGATGAAATCACATTTATCAATTTTTTCTTTTATGGACTGTTTTTGGTGTTTTCTCAGAACCCTTCTCTTATCCCTAGTCAGAAAGATATTCTGCTATGTGTCCTAACAGTGTTGTGGTTTTACATATTACATTTAGAACTACAATTCATTTTGAGTTAGTCTTTGTATAACTAGTTAGGTCTAGGATCATTGCACACAGATATCCAATTGTCTAACACTATTTGCTGAAAAGACTGTCCTTCCTCCTTTGAACTGTTTTTGCATCAAGTCAGTTGGGCTTACTTGTGTGGATCTATTTCTGGACTTTTATTCTCTTTCATTAATCTACAGGTCTGTTCCAGTTACTAAGACATGTTATGACTACTGCAGCTTTGTAGTAAATTGTAAAATCAAGTAGAGTTATTACTCCAAATTTATCCTTTTTCTTCAAAATCACTTTAGCTAATCTAGTTCTTTTGCTTTTTCATATAAATTTAAGAATCATCATGTCTGTGGCCACAAAAATCTTGCGGAAAATCTACAGACTTGGGAGAACTAAGAGCTTCACTGTTCACAAACACAGTATGTCTCTCTGATTTGTTTCGCTTTGTAGCTTTCATATGGACAATGCACTTGTTTTGTTAGATTTATACCTAAGCTTTCAATTTTTGGAGCTACTGTAAACATTCTTTCTTAAATTTTGGTTTTCCATTTATTCATTGATAGTATATAGAATACAAATTTTTTAAAGTTTTTATTTAAATTTCAGTTAATCAACATACAGAGTAATACTAGTTTCAGGTGTACAATATAGTGATTGAACACTTCCATACATCACCCAGTGCTCATCACAAGTGCCCTCCTTAGTACCCATCACCCATTTCACCCATCCCCCCACCTACCTCCCCTATGGTAACTCTCATTCTGTTTTCTAAGGTTAAGAGTCTGTTTCTTGGTTTCTTTCTCTGTTTTCTCCATTGATCCTATGTTTTGTTTCTTAAATTTAACGTATGAATGAAATCATAGGATATTTGTCTTTCTCTGACTTATTTCACTGAGCATAATACACTCTAGTTCCATCCATGTCATTGCAAATGGCAAGATTTCATTTTTTAATGGCTGAGTAATATTCCATTGTATATACCAATGGATATACCACTTCTTTATCCATTCATTAGTCGATGGACATTTGGGGTCTTTCCATAATTTGGTTATTGTTGATAATTCTGCTATAAACATTGAGTTGCGTGTATCTCTTCAAAGTAGTATTTTTGTATTCTTTGGGTAGATACCTAGTAGGGTAAATGCTGGATCACAGGGTAGTTCTATTTTATTTTTTGAAGAACCTCCACACTGCTTTCCAGACTTGTATGCAACAGTTTGCATTCCCACCAACAGTGCAAGAGGGTTCTGGTTTCCCCACGACCTTTTTGTGTTGTTGATTTTAGCTGTTCTGACAGATGTGGGGGAATATCTCATTGTAGTTTTGATTCATATTTCCCTGATGATAAGCAATGTTGAGCATCTTTTCATGTGTCTGTTGGCCATCTGTATATCTTCTTTGAAAAAATGTCTCTTCATGTCCCATTTTTTAATTGGATGATTTGCTTTTTGGGTGTTGGGTTTCATAAGTTGCTTACAGATTTTGGATACTAACCCTTTAGCAGATATGTCATTTGCAAGTATCTTCTCCCATTCCATAGGTTGCCTTTTAGTTTTGTTGATTGTTTTTAATTTTGATGAAGTCTCAATAGTTTATTTTTGCTTTTGTTTCCTTTGCCTCAGTGGACAGATCTAGTAAGAAGTTGCGAAAGCCAGTGTGTTCTCCTCTAGGACACATATACATGGGTCTTGTTTTTTTTTTTTTTTTTTTTTTTTTTTTNTTTTTTTTTTTTTTTTTTTTTTTTTTTTTTTTTTAATCCATTCTCACAACACCCTATGTCTTTTGATTGGAGCATTTAGTCTATTTACATTCAGAGTGATTATTGATAGATATGAATTTAGTGCAATTGCTTCTGGAGATTTTCTCTGTTCCTTTTTAGTCTTTTTTGCTTTTGGCCTTCCTTTACCTACTCAAAGAGTCCCCTTTAATATTTCTTGTAGGGTTGGTTTAGTGGTCACAAAGTCCTTTATTTTTCATTTATCTGGGAAA